GAGTTGAATATAAAATATTTTGATTCCCAAATAAAGCACTTAAATATTATAATTTATTTCTGTGGATTAAATATAGATAACTATTTACTTAAAATATTCTAAAAGAAACCTAAAATGAAAATCTTAATTACTAAAATTAAGTGTAGAACAACTGGTTCCAGTAATCTGTAAGACTACATACACTGAAAGATTTTGCCACTAAAAAAACAACTAGAACATAAGCAAAACAGGTTGACTTTATTGTGTTGTTACACTCAACAGAAAAAAAAAACAGAAACAAAGGAAAACAGCTGAACATGAACTATAAACATTAAACACAAGCAAAAAATGTGTTGTTATGATGATAAGTACAAAACTCAGAAATGTAATCTGGAGAATAAACTTTAAGTTACCCATAATGTAGGGAAGCATACTGATAGAAATGTTGAAAGAAATAAAATGCATACACAAAGTGATGTGTAAGCAAGAAAGAGCTATCAACAAGTATCAATATTTTAAAAAATAAATGCAGCCTTTAAAAATTAAGATATATAGATTCATATATAAAAACACAAAAGATGGATTCAAAAAGAGTCAACATATAGAGAATAAGAAAAACACGGAAATATTTTAAAAAGAAGCACAAGCAATTATATAAAAAAATTGAAAGAGCCTAAGAAATGCAAAAAAGAATAAAACAGAATAATATACACTAATTGCAACCCAAAAATGAATGAATTTTTTACATGTAGGAAGGCAATATGTTCTGCAATAATAAGTAGGAGTTTTGAGAAATAATAAAAGACATGCTACCTAAACAGGAATCATATTTCATAGAGTAAATGATAAAAATTACTTATGTTAATATAGTTGCTAGATAAAAAAAGACAAACATGAGCTATTGAAACAGAAAAAATAAATTTCACATAAATCATAAATTACCTTTATAATTTTGTTATGTTGAAAGAGAACCAATTATCAGACAAAAATATGTAAATAAGTAAAGTTTTGATCTGGGTTAAAGTGTTTGAACTTTTTATTATTCAATTAATTCTAATTGGTATAAAATCAAAAGCATTCATCTAGCTTAAGCATTTGTAGAGGTCAGCTAATAGGGACTGGACTCAGTCATTGATCCTCCTATCTTTCATCAAGATAGAGGCAAACTGACTCACACTGTTTTCTATGGCAAAAGCAAAAGAAAGCAAACCTAAATATGCAAGCATATATCAAGGTTCCATTATGTCTGGTTTTTAAAATTATCAATGGCCTTAAATAAGTGACATGGCCAACCTCTGCATCAATGACAGAGAAGTAAAGTACTATCCTTCTTTGAAAGTAAAGAGTAAGTTCTTCTAAAACAATTCCACAGGTACACACCAATTAAGTACATGCTCTTTTGGCATAATTTAGCTTCAAAGTCATATCTATGCATAAAAACAAAGATGAGAAATATAAGCATCTAATTATGCCCAATTATATCATGAAAACTATAGGAATAAAGAAAATATATCTTAGTAAAAAATTAGCAATCTCTACCACAGTAATTCCAAAGAAATTTCAAGGATTGGTTTCATATAGACTATGTATTCTGACCATGATTTATACCAACTACAAATATACAATAACCACACACAAAAAATAAGAAAATTCAAAGCCTATGCATATGTAAATTTGAAAATATCTTTAAATAAAACATGGAATGAAGACCAAATCATAATAAAGTACTTAAAAATGAACAAAAATGTAAATGCTATATATAAACAACTGTGTGATACATTTAAAACAGTATTTAGGAGAAAAACTGTTCTATTAAATATTTAGAAAGGCCAGAAATTAATTAACTATGCAGTCAGTCAACATAAAAAGCTGGAAGAAGAAAGAACACAAAGAATGTAAACAGAAGGAAATCACAATAATGAAAACACAAAGAAAGAAAAAACTAAGTATAGTAACAAATCATAAAACTCAAGATGTCAGATCTTCCCACATGCCAATAAATTTCATAACTCTCCCAGAAGACTATTGAGAAATGAAGAGGGAAGAAGAACCATTGAAAGAGGAGACAAAAAAAAAGAAAATCAACAAATAAAAACAATACAATTATATGTCTATTGGAAATCTAAGATGATAAAAATCTGACATATACCTTTAAGCTCTTAATTTGAATACTCAAAACTGTTCATATTACCTTACAGATTACAAAAATTGATTTGAGAAGAAATAAGCTCTATAGTTCTATTAGAAAGAAAGCAGAATCCATAATGTAAAATATTACTGCAAGTACATAATAATTTCAATTAGTTATACAGAAGACTTCTACTGTATGTGTTAGGAACAGATCTTCAACAGTATAATAACACTTCAAAAGAAAGAAAGAGGGAATATTCCCACTTTATTCAATTTACCGCAATTATAAAAAGACAGTGACTATAGGGAAACTAAAGACCAATTCCATTCATAAACAGAAACATCTTAATAAAAAATAGTCAACTAGATTCAGTGGTATATAAATCAAACAACACACAAAAAATAAGTTAGTTTTATCCTAGGACTTATAGGTAATGTTTAAATTAGAAAATACATAATGTCATTTACCATATCAAAATATTAATGGAGAACGGGGTAAAAGTTGTGGCTCAGTGGAAGAGGGCTTGCCTAGCACGAGTGAGACGCTGGGCTCGATCCCCAGCACCATATAAAAATAAAAACAAATAAAATAAAGGTATTGTGTTCATCTACACTAAAAAAATTAAAAATTTTTAAAAATGGAGAAAATTATCTAAGAAAAAAATTGATAATCATGGTAAAAAGAAAATATTAATATTTAATTATGATAAAAATGTATCATTATTTTATGATAAAAAGAACTAACACACTTATGATAAAACAAAAACTTAGCAAATGTAGTGGGAAGGGTACGTTTTGAACCTTAATAAAGAATACCTACCCAGAACAACAAATATTCCTTATGTTGAATCATCCAAAGCATCCCCTTAAAATTTTTAAACAGGATATGAATGCCTACTCTAACCACTTCTGCTTAACTGCTTTCTGGAGGTTCTAGACAAGATACAATGAGAAGAAACACAAATAAATTTTTCTAAGACTAGAAAAGGAAAAATCACAGCTACCATTTTTCACAAATGATAACATTACTTAAGAGGAAAATCCTTAGAAAAAACTATAAATAAACTATAGAAATAAAGAGTTCAGCAAAATCACTGTAAGTCATATCAACCCACAATAAGAAAATTCAGGTCTATACAGCAGAAACAAATAGAATAGTTTTTCATTTATGCATTAATTCAAATACAAATATCATATTATATTTGCCGGACATAATTTTGGTACTAGGAAAACAGCACTGAATAAAAAAGATAAATACCCCTGCTCGTATGAAGCTTACATTCTAATGGGAAAAAATACACTGAATGAGTTAAAAGTATGATATAGTAAACAAAGTTATGCAGGGAGAAAAGTAGAAAACAGGCCCAGGAAGTATCAGGGAATGAAATGAATCATTAAAATGTATATTGGGCAACTATAGAAGGTCTCTTCTGAAAGGTGACATTTGAGGAAACCTTAAAAGAAAGTAAGGAGATGAGCCACTCAGATATCTGAGTGGAGGACAATCCAGACAGAAGAAACCTCAAGTGCAAGAGCCTCAAAACAAGGGCATGTCTAGGTTGTTCTACAAACACATGGGAAGCTAGTGGGCTGCAAATGAATAGAAGGTGGAGAGAAGCAAGAGATAAGGGCCGAGAGTTAAATGGGGCCAGACCCACATAGTCTCAGAAGTTATAACAACTTCACCTGTAACTTTAAGTAAGCCACTGGAAATTTTTCAGCAGTGTCAAGGATAACATGTTTTAAGATCATTCTASCTGCTGTGTTTAAAAGACACGAAAGGAAAACAAAGACAGAAGTAGAGAGTAGTTAGAAGGATTGGAAAAATCCAAGATAGATATGAGGACAGAACAAAGAAACAACAACAATGCTAGAAGTAAGAAAAGATGAAAATATAGACTTTTTTCAAAGATATAACCAAAATCATTTCTTTCATATTGAATGGGGAGGTATGAGAGAAAGAGAGAAATGACTCAAGGATGACTGTAGAGATTTTTTGGCCAAAAAAACAAAATGAAAGGATAGAATTTCTATTATTTAAGACTGAAAAAAATCACAGGAGAAATAATTACAGTAGGAAACTGATATCTAGTTGCATGCGCCAAGTAGGCAACCCATTATATAAAAATGTAATTCAGAGAAGAGATCTCAGTAAATGATAGAAATGAAGGAGTCATTAACATATAGGTAGTAAAAGTCACGTCATACCTTGATAGTGATAAAAAAGAGAAAATATATGTTCATGATAGAAGGAGGGAGAGGGAATGAAAGCAGCAATGAGAAGCAGAGATCATTTATCTGACCTCTGATTAGGTCCAATAACATGATTGAGTATATAGTAGAACAATTTGCTCTGGTGGTGTTGTAAGACTTCATGTACTAGAACTGGCTCATACTGACCCAAGAACTCTGACTGTGAATATTAATTCCCAATTCTCATTCATTCAAATAAAATTATAGCTTGAACATCTACAGTGTGAGTATTTATAGCACAGAAACTGGAAGACATTACAAATCCAGGCTTTTTTCTTCTTCTTTTTTTCAAAGAGCTAATCATTAAACATTTACTAGAACCCCACTGGCTACAGGAAAAACTACCTAATTTAGGGAAAGCTAAATTTCCATTAGCACAAAAGGAAAGGGAACATTTCACTGCTCACCAATCTTGAGTTCCAATGAGTATAGAGAAAGAGTCTGGGAAGTCAGAAAAGAGGAAAGAGAGATTGGGTCAGAAAAAGTGATACAAGGTGTCTTAGGGAAGATGAGAGTTCTGAAAATAAAGGATGAACTGGGAATATTGAGCTTCTTATGAATACTAAGAAGAACATGGATAAAAGTGTAGATGTTGATGAAAGATGCTTTGGAGGACGACAAGCCAAGAAGACTGTTGCTTAGAACTTCCCACTTGGCTCCCGCTGACAGAGGCAAGATGTCCTGTAGGTGGGTGGTCTTATTCTGAATGTTGGTGCACTCTGTTGTCTCTTGCCAATGATGTTCTGCAGAGGTGTAGTCTTATTCCAAGTTTGAGTATTCCCTCTCCACTCCTTCTGATGGAGAACTGGAGTTGGACAGAGGGTTGATCTTGCACTGAGCTCAAAAGCTCCCTCTTGAGTTCTGTTGAAGGAGGCCTCAAAGCCAAGAGAGGAACAGGTTATTTTATTTTAAGAACAGGTTATTTTATTTTATAACAAAGTTATAAGACCTTAGAATTACATTTAATATGAACACTATGTATAGAGAAAATTATAAAAATGTTAATGAAAGACATCTACAGAGAGTCAAGATGCACAGGGCAATAAACCATGCTCATTCATTCATTCATGGAAAGATGCAATATCATAAAGATGCTGGAATCTTCACATTAATTTATAAAGTCAAAGACATTCCAAAAAAATCACAAGAAAAATAATATTTAAGGAATTTGGAAAGCCTATTTTAAAATTTATAAAGAAAAAGATATAAAAGAATAGCTAAAATGCTTCTAAAAATAAATATAAGGTTGAGGGAATTGACTTAAATAAAATACATTCAAACTTATTAAAAACTGTAATCATTAAAAAGTGTACTACCACAAGAGGAGTGAATAAACTCACCAATGAGAAGTCCAGAAGTAAATTCATGTATACATGGGAACTAAATAAATGACGGAGCTGGTTCTTCACTAGGGGGAAGAACCATATAATAAACTATGCTAGGACAAGCAATTATCTGAATGAAAAAAAGTAAAACTGGATTCCTACTATATTCCACATTTACAAATTAATTTCAAGGTAATTAAATATTTAAAATAGAAAAGCAAATGACCTGTCCAGAAAAGATGGTGTAGAATCATCTCTCCACCTGCTCTTCCCTACTAAGTATAACTATAAACCCTAGCAATGATGTAAGAGACAATGTAAGGGGAACTCTGACAAGTTGAAACAGGTAGGATAACTGGTGATGCATGACAAGACTGAAGAAAKAGTATAATGACAAGACATGTTACCATTTCCTACCCAACGGACAAGGCTTTAGCCCCAACCTACCAACAAAAGGTAATGTTTTCTGTTCATGGTGGAAATCAAATTAGGAATCAAAAATTAGGAATCAAACAGGAAAATCTCTAAATACTTAGAAGCTGAACACACTTTAATAAAATCACCTATGAGGGTCACAGAGAGTAAAAAGAGGAAGACTAAAAAGGAATGAAAAGAAAACTATGTAAAACTAAATGAAAACCAAAATACAACATATTAAAATATGTTGAACAAACTTTTAACCCACAAAACAGTTTGGATGAATCACAAATGAAGTATGCAGAGGGTAAAAGTCAAGTCCAAAAAGTCAAAAAGTGTATTATTACATTTAAATATCAATCTTGAAATGAAAAAAATATAGACAGAGAACAGATTAGTGGTGGCCTAGGGTTAGGAATTGAGGGATAGGAGATAGAGGAAGGTAATAAGGGCTATAAATGGGCAATACCAGAATACTTATGATTCTATATTTTCATTTTATCCATGTCAACATCCTGGTTATAATAGTGTACTACATTTTGCAAGACATTATTGTTGGTGAAATATAGAAAAAGGGTACAGAGGATCTCTCACTGATTTATATTTTACAAGTGCATATAAATCTAAAACTATATACAGATAAAAAGGTTAAGTTTTCTAAAAAATATAGGCACAGTGGAATATAAAATTTAAATAAAATCTGTAAATTAAATAAAAGCAATGTTATCAATGTTAACTTCTTAATTTAAATAATTATATTGTGATGCTTTTGTAAGCAAAGTCTGTTTTTAGAAATTATAGATTGAAAAAATTCCTTAAGCAAGTAACAACAAATGTTAACATAAAAAGATGGACTGATAAAGTTGATTACATTAAAATTAAGAATTTATGATCATTAAAAAAATCATAAATAAATAGAAAATATAAGTCACTATCTGTAACAAGATTATCTGCATTCATAAAATTGATTAAGACATTTTTATCAAGAAATGTATCTTTTGAAAGATACATTTAAAAAAAAAATTTTTAGTTGTAGTTGGACACAATACCTTTATTTTACTTATTTTTATGCAATGCTGAAGATGGAACCCAGTGCCTTGCACATGCTAGGTGAACCCTCTACCGCTGAGCCACAGCCTCGGCCCAACCCCCAGAAAGATACATTTTAAATGATACATTTTAAAAACGTATCTCTTGAAATTAATGAAAAAATATATATTTGTATGTCAAACACATATTTCAAATATTTTTTTTCAATGAACAAATATTTATTGAACACTTGTTATGAGATCGTACATGTGCTATACATAAAAGATATTTAAAAARTAAATTATAATCTATGGTCTAATGACAGAAGAGGTCAGCAACATCATTTTACCTTACTATTGATACTGGGAAGCTTAAGCACTGGGTTCAGCTAACAAAAGTAATAAATCTAATAAAGAAATTTTTGGTGGACAAGATAGCAGTATAGAGGTACTTAGTTGTCACAAAAATCAAACAATGGGTGTATAGCAGCATATTTAGGCGAGTGACCATGGAGAACACTGGAATTCAATAGTAGAGCAATAAAAACCTTGTGAAATCCAGAAACTTGAGACATCAGCAGAGCAAGAGAAACAAAATATCCCCTTAGGGAGAGGGGGTTCAACATCCAACAGAGGTAAAGGTAAAAAAGTATCAGTGCAGATACTAACAACCTGGGCTACTAGAAAGTTTCATAGCCCTTATAAGCTTACAGCCTGAATACATAGGAGACCTGAAATCTACCTAGTAGACTAGCTTTTGGAAAGGAATTAACTTATCTCCTAACAATGCCCCTGGGTGTTACAGCCAGGAGCCATATCAGGAGGGGACCTAATGTCTGAATTCAGACTGCATGAGGGGACAGAAAGCCCTGACACTGGGGCCCCACAGACATTCCACTGCACTGGCTCAGCAGATGGCTCACAGGCCAGACTTGGCTAAGTGGAGTGACTCTGACGCAAACCTGCTGAGAATGGTACACAAGGGTTTCAACCCAGAGAGGAACAGAGGCAGTTATCCACAAGAACTAGGGATGGCGAAGCCTGGCCTCTAAGACCAGGGCTGTGTCCAGTGGTGTGTGGTTTTGTATGAATGCCAGGACTAAGGGAGGTTACCCACAGTTCCCACCATCCCTCTCCCAGCTCTGTGCAAGGGCATTTGTTGCCAAAATGTTGAAGAAAGAAACCCAGTTTCCCCTGCTCCCACAGAACCATGCTGGGGCACTTTTGAGCAAAGCTCTGGAGCCCTTACTATAGCCCTGCACCTGAAGCACACGACTTAAAAACGTTCAGAAACTTTGCCCAACAGTGAGTGCATTCTGCTCTCCAAAAGCTTCTGAATTTTACCCCACTCCAGCCAAGACCCGCTCCAGTTTGATCACTGGTGGGCACTGCCACTAAAAGAATGATGAAGAATAAAACCTCCCATCTGTCATGTTATTCCCAGGTATACATACCTGGTGGGTGGTCTGAGATCCCACTCCTGAGCAGGCATACTCACAATAGCAGCACGGATGAATAACACAACCTTTGCTAACTCTGCACCTACATGGACCCCCTGCATTGGTCACCCCTAGTCTTGTCTGAGCATGCACTGCTCACAAAACTGGGTATAAGTGCCATCACAGAAGAGGTGCGATGATTACTGCTCAGTCTACTTGAACCGATACTAGTGTCTAATCAGAGAACAAATACTTCATTCCCCTAATTACTGCTAGAGCAGCCACTACAGAGGTCCTTACAAGTAACAGAGCCAATATCAATAGAATCTAAAGAAACCTATCACTTGATACTKATCAACACTCTGATTGTAAAATTAACCACACACACACAAAAATAATAATAAAAACATAATCCACACAGAGATACACTGCTACCTATACACACCTGCCTGAACTGCTAATGTATCCCTACTCTTGCATAAGCCACAAAGACAATGGGAAAGATTGTGTTATTTAACTCCAAAACAGGACACATTGTGCTCAAATTCACTAGCCACAGCCAAAGAAGCTATAGGAAGATTACAGCATGGTGCCTAGTTGGAAATAAACTCAACATTGCATAACAACCTCAACACACAACTTTAAAAGAAAGCTCCTTGTTAAAAGGGTTATCCATAAAAGAGGTAGAGATATCCTTTTCACCAGATGCACAAATATCAACAAGAGAACCAAAAAAATGAAAAAATAAAGGTAATGTGACACCTCCCAAAGTTTATAACTCTCTAACAAGAGGTTCCAAAGATACCCAAGTAGATGAAATAAAGAATTCAAAAAAATGATTATTTTAAAAAATTCTACCAATTACAAGATAATACAGATAAACAGGCATATTAGGAAGAAAAGACCAACAATCTAACAGAAAAATGGGCAAAAGTTATGAAGTATTATTTCACAGAAGCTAATACATGAATTGCCTATAATAAAAAAATCAAACGTCACATTCAGTAATCAGAAAAATGAAAATTAAGATCTAATAGGGTAATGCTTTAATCATTAGATTGGCAAAAAATCAACAACCCTGGTAAATATCGATTGTTGGCAAGATTGCACAGTAATAAGGAATTCTGGGGAAGGTCTGTAAATATGACCAATTGGTTTGAGAAGAATACGACACGATATAGTAAAATCTCAATCCCCATTCCTAGATTTAATGCCCTACAGAAAAACTTCCATAGATTCCCAGGGAGATGTATAGAATAATATCCATGATATCACTGTCTAATAAACCAAGACTTTGGAAGCAATCTGAACATTCTTTAACAACAAAACATAGAAATAAATGCTATAAATTCTACTATAGCCACATATAGCAATGTGGAAGAACCTTAAAAACAAAACACTAAGTCAAAAAGCAAGTAGCAGAAAACTACATACACTGCATTTCATGTCATCTATTTTGTCATATATGTATTTCATTTATACATTATATTCAAATACACATATCTCAATTAATCATTAATTAAATATATTTATTTTAAACTGTGGTATCATAAATTGTATTTTAAAATATGGATACTATATTGATTGAAGTTTTCAAAATGTTGTAAATCCTGAGCATATTTTTTCACTACAAATTCATTTCCATATTTTCCAAATTATTTGTGGT